GGGGCGCGCTTCACACTTTCCCCAGATGACCCCACGACACAATCCTACCAAATGTTTATTACCAGTAAGAAGAAAAACCAGTGGAATTATAATTTTGAAACGTATTGTCAAACAGATGATGACTTAAAGAATAAGATATGCTGCACAGTCAGCATTATGAATAAAAATATTTTTCCAGAGTTTTCAAATTACTGCTAATGTTGCGCCTGATCTGTGAATTTGCTTCTGATTTTGGGGAAAAGATAAAATACCAGATCTCGCAAGAGAAAACACGGTCGCAGCGCTCAGGGAACATATTAAGTGTAATATGTAGACGGATAACAAACGTCTCACTAGTTCGTTGAAGCGCTCTACAAAAACGGCTCTTAGAACATTATTCTGCTCCTATTCCTACCATACTCAAATAGCAGAAACAAAGCTCAGAATGCAGTGGATTCGCCTCAATACAGTCTCAAAGCCTATATGTGTCACACATTTATAGGTTCGTCGACGCGCGTAACATGAACTTTACCAACTCAGGCAGCAAATATGTGGGTTTCAATTAACCACGGAGTGATTAAATCCATGGCTTTCGGCGTACCTTTGTAGCTCAATTGGTAGAGCATTGGCTCTATTAGCGCCTTCCCTGCTGATATTGATTCGAATCACACCAAGACGACGCAATTTTCACAATTGGGTCAACAGAATTATTCAACTATGACAACCCCGCCCCCCTCCTCTAATAAATCTGTCAGAGATAACCCAAGGCCGAAAGTGTGAGCATGCCCTACCTCGAATTCATGGATTTAACTTTGCTTAAAAAAGATGATTGGCAAAAAAAGAAGAATGGGATGCGGTCACAGATTGCACCTTTCCACGTGCAACGATCCGCGGCAATAGATCTAAACAATTTAACGAAATTTCTTCGCTGAAGGCGAAAGCCGATTACCAAAGGTCCAAAAATAGATTCCATGTCTTGACGGCCTCTGCCAAGCCAGGTTTTGAGCTTAGCTCTCTTTCAATGTCTCTAATTGGGCAACGATATCTAATCGGGGGCAGTAATATTGATCGCAGAAGGTGGACGACGAACAACGCGTTCAAACTATTTCAGTTGTCTTCCGTGAACATGTTTGTCCTTAGACCTCCTCCTTACTATTTTCAAGGACTAATAGGTTCCGTTATCCGATTCGTGAATGCAAATAAGGTCTATCTAGCTTTTTTGTAATTTGAAAATTTTTCAAACCTGTAACTCTGATTTAAAACACATAAGCTATTTAAGCACTCCCGCTCTGGATCTCTTTGTGTTTCAAAGATATCTCAAGTGATTGATCATAAAATATTTGTAAGCCAAGCTATGCTCAGCCCTATGCTTCCCTGTCGGTTCGTCGGTTTCAGCAAAGTGATTACTCTCTACACGTTACACGAGATAGATTTTCACAAAAGGGGATGTTGGTGTGATTGAAATTATGAGAGAATTTTTAGTTTTTTTGAAATCAGATGGATGTGTCGGGTAAGGACATCAACCTGGTTGCCCATACTTAATTCGTTTAGGGGCCTAGAACCACAGTAGGAACCTCTACAGGCAGTCTGCTATCTTCTTGTATACTATGAAGTACACTAATCAACCATCTTTAGATAACTACTGGGATACATGTTAGAAAGAGAGGCTTGTTTTCCAGAAATATTGATAAAGAGCAGTCAGTCAATGCAAAAAAGCAGTCCAAAGAACTAACTTTCGGTGACATCTTCTAGCGTCTGAACAATCTGTTGTATAGCCTGCATGCCCCGGCGCTCGCAAGCCCTTTTCAACTTCAGGGGATTGATATCGGTGGTCCGCTGCATGCGGACATACATAGGTTCTTGTTGACGCCAGAAGTTCGAGCGCACCTTCAGGTACCTGACTGCGTCACCGGCGAGGGCAACAACCTCAGCAGAGTTCTTGGTCTTCCTCTCCAGCAACTCTAATAATTAAAAACACTTATTTAGTATCAAACAATTAGGAAGAAGATCTCTCCGATGAAACCTTCAACGCCAATGTATGAGAAGTACAAATGAAACAAACTCGAGTGTGTTACTTTTCAGGTTATCCTTCCGGTGGACACTCAAGCCGTGTTTACGTCTTGATTGCTTAGCAGTTTGCAGAAATGCAACTTCCTTTTCTATAATACCATTTAAACAAGCATATATACGTAAATTGTTTACCAAAAATCGGAATTATTAAGATTTATTTTGCCAAATTAGCGGCTCATACCGAACTTCACATGAGTGTGTAAACTCGGTTTTATGGGAAGATTTGTAACATTTTTTGTTTGTCTTTAAGCTGGTTAGTAGCCCAAAGCCAATTTAGGCATAATCTATAAGTTTTACGTATATTGCGTCACGGGAGTGGTAATAACTATATTCTTGTGTACTAGTAGAAACGTCAAAATTCTGGCTTAAGTGCTTCCCTGACACAGATAAAAATTTGCATTTAAAATTCCGAATATCCATCAGCATGATAGTCAATGGCATCATGGTGTATTTTTGGCTCAGCAGAGGCATGGTCTGAAGCGGAACACAACTGCAGTCTCAACATCGACATCTGGACCAGAAAGGGAGCAAATGGCAGCAGCTTTCCTGGAAGATTCCGAATACTAAACTATTCGAATACTTCCGATGCTGAGTTCACCTGATATTTCGAAACTTTAGGCCAATATAAATTCTTAGTCCACCGATCGCATTTTGGCCTTCCTACGAATTCCTTTTTTATTCTTAAAAATATCAAAAATATTTATCGGGTGCAGATCATACTATGCTAAAATTAATCTTATGTTTTGCCTACATTTTATGAAAAAGTTCACAATTACAGCTAGTTATTCAGATGACTTATAATACACGTCTATGTATGATCGCGTGTAGAGAAAAACAATTAAACATATTCAGGTAGTTTGCAGTTAAACGGTTTTGTGCACCGTTTTTTCCAATGCGGGAAGCAAAGTAGCAAAAGATGTCATAGGACGTGTTTTGCTTCATTTCACAGACGTATTAGGAAACGAAAGCAAACTCCCTCATGGATTTCATTGTCATGTCAATACATCTCACGGGGAATCCTTCTTCATCTTCTTCCGTCTTTTAATTCTCAAAAAATCTTTTTGGTATGAAAAGTTAAAATGTAGAATTTTGATATACATTTTAGACACAAAGATGACCAAAAGCGAATATGTAATACAGACGTTTTCTAAATAAGACAATAAGCAAAATAGATTTTTGTAAAATACGTTTGATTACCTTCGGTAGAGAGCAGCTTGTCCATGAATTCGACATCATAATAGAACTCCTTCAACACACGACGCAATTCTCTCTTATTCGCTTCAGTTCTCCATATTGAGTCAGATGTTGGACCACTGCTCAGGTCAAAGGTACTTCCAAAATCGCCATCTCGTACGAAATCCTTGAGAATCAAATAGACGGATGTACAATGATTTCAGTCTACGGAGGGGCACTAATCGTCGATTTTGCTCTTGAGTTATAAGTGGCACGATCACCATAACACAAGTACTAGTAAATCTTTGTCGATTTTTCTGAGTAAAAAAATCAGATATGAAACTGAAGATGGTGAACATATACAGTTATTAATAATTGTTTCCCTCTGTATTCAAGTATGTTTAAAATATTGAAATGTTGAATTTTTGTTAAAACATATAAAATCTCACGGGTTCATTCGGCGGGCCTTGCTTTGTAACCGTCAGTGTAATGTGAGCGGCATCTGTTAAGCATGAATTTGAAGCATGTTTAATTAAGCAGTATGAAATACCTAAAGCAAATGTCTAATGGTTCGAAGGAAATGTAAATAATATAAAGCGAAACCAATAGGTTTGATAGGGTTGCGTTAGTTCCAATTAAGTAGACTGACAATCACCTACTATGTATGACTTACATACTTTAAAATATCTCTGTAAGTGATATACGTCTGACGAAGTTATAATTTTTTCATGGTAACTTGTTAACTTCACCATATTTTGGGCAAAATATCTGTTACTTATTTGGGTTCGCATGCTTGCTTTACTCGTAAGATTTCAACTGACATTTTTGTTTTGCTTTAGGGAGCCACAGGGCTAAAATGTAAAAGATCGCGAAAGCAATTGATACATCCTAATTAAAAAATACACCTTACCTTATGGGGCTCTCAAGAAAGCGTTCTAATTTGTCAACTATGAAAGCTGTGATCGTTCCGTTATTGTAATCAATAGCTTATTTAACTGGCTTCCATACTTTTACCTATATAATTAAGCAAATAGTAGTTATACAAA